CTGAAGGATGCCCAGGTATTTGTAGTGATCTTCTTCATCCAGACTCTTGATGTTATTTGCACTGGGCATCTTGATTCCTTCAGTTTTCACTATTTTCCCCCTGTTGATGGTTGTTGTTGTTGTTGTTGTTGTTATTATGTTTGTATGCCACCCAACTCCCAATGATTTTAGTTGTACAAAAAGCCAATTTATTCAACCAAGTGTTCAAAATATTACTCTGTAATTAGAATCCTATCCATCCTGTGCCTTGCATCTTATTGAATAAAAGGTATTGTCCAATAAATATTTGCATGTTCTATATTTTTCATTCTTTCTTGCTATTTTCTTTTAAATGCTTGGAGGTTTGGGAAGATGCTGCAGACTTAATGGTTCTTCTCTTTTTGTTGGAAATATTTTACGTGCCGCTGCAGGGCATTGGTCAGGTTACATGGATCATTTATATTGATTAATAAGATATTTTGCAATTACCTAGATTTCATTTAAATATAAAGAAAAAAATCCTGATGATAAGATCTGTACAACAGGGGAAAGTATTTCTATAGAGATTGTGGGTTCTCCATTTTTGGAGGTTTAAAGAAAAGGTTAGAAAGCCACCGTACCTCTCATGGATGACGTTTTTGGTTTCCTGCACATTGTAGGGGGTTGGACTAGATGTTCCTTATGGTCCTTACAACTGTACAGTTCTTTAATTCCATGATTCTATGATTACTGAAGCCTGGTTAATTTCATTTGCTCTCTTTACTTACAGATATTAATGAATGTATGATTCAAGGTGTATGTAAAGATGCAGAATGTATGAACACCCGTGGCAGCTTCGTCTGTACTTGTAAGCCTGGTACTATGTTGGACCCATCACGCAGTCACTGTATTTGTAAGTCCTAAATGGTTTGCCTGTCCATAAACAGTTTTTCAGTTGCTACTGTTTCAAAGTTAAGTTACAATAAATTGGAAGAACTGAATAATAGCAAAAGGATTAATCCTCTGTGTGTGTGTGGCATATTATAATATTAATATATATATTAATATATATTTATTTATGGAGATAAATTTAATAAATAAATAAATATAATATTAATATATACTATTACTATTACTTATTATTTATTATATATTAATACTCTCTCTCTCTGTCCTATATCATATTAATATGATGTAGTAGTTATTTTCCCTGAAGGAAACTACAGATGCTTTCCCTTCTTGTTTAAGCAGAAGTGACAATATTAAGAGAGGCTTGCCACTGGCTCGTTTTGAGTAAGGGGTGTCCCTTTCTGAAAATGACTCCCTCATTTTTTCCTTCAGTCCTATTAGTTGTTTGTTAAATTTATAGCATAGTTTCCAATAAAAATGCTTTATAGACACCTTTACTATAGCTGTTTGTAGTAATAAAAATGCAACAATATGTGAACTATTGGAAATAAGAAGCATAAAGCATTATAAAATTGTACTGAGCATCTAAAAATGGCTACCCATTAAAACTTCATCAAAGTAGATAGTATATGAAAATACAGAGCATTTTTCAGACTGCTTAAGATAAATTATTCAGTAGCTTGGTTGAATGAGCTAAGTTTAAGCTAAAAATGACATTATTTAACACATCGGTAACTTTGCAATCACAGTTCATTTACAGCGAAGGATCCTGCTAAATTGTTAACTAAAATCTGAAGTCATATAGTCTTGTTACAAATGCATAGATTTAAACAGTTATATTATTTCACTCATAATGATTATAATGTAGCTACTGTATCAACTCAATTGTTTGCCAGCATCCTAAAGCAAGAGATGTCTGGATTGGTATCTTAAATAGATTAATCTTCTAATCAGCTGTTCAGCTTATAGCATAATGAATGCAACATTTTAAATGCTTTCTTGTTCTGAATGAATGGCAGCATTAAAATGTTCTTTGTTTCTTTGCATTCACTTTCTGCTTTGGTGAAATAATTGGGTAGGAACATCAAGATAGCAAAAAAAAAAAAAAAGTCTATGAACATGAACCTATATTTATTTATTCAGAAGTATGTACTACTGTTTCCAAAGTGGTACACTTCCAGAGATATGTGGCTTTTTATCTGGATGAGGACCCCGCTGAGCACAGGAGGATTAACTTTAGAGATCTTCCTGAACTGCAAAGATTCTGTGCTTTTATTTGATTTTTCAGAAATTGGCAACTATATCTGAAGAAATAATCCATCATTTTGTTTCAGCGGATAAGGCAGTTTCCACAGAACAAGGGTTGTGCTATCGCTCGGTGATAGAAGGAAAGTGTACTCTGCCACTTAATCAGCGGATCACCAAACAGATCTGCTGCTGCAGTCGTGTTGGCAAAGGATGGGGGAGAAACTGTGAGATATGCCCGTTGTTGGGCTCTGGTAAGAACTCTGCTTTCTTGTTTGAACCATATTATTTCTAGTCTTGTCCAGTTATGTTACATCCTGAGATTGTGCTAAATGTTTTGGTACCATGTTCTCTGCCAAAAGCTGGGTTTCAAAAGCATTGTACGTATAGAGATTTGCCTCTTTGTCATCCACAGGACCTTGCCTTGAGTCAGAGTGGATATGCAGTACTACCGAAAGGTAGCTTAAGGCTCCAAAAACCTACTCTAGCATGACAAAATAGGGAAAATAGAGAAGTATGGCTTTTCAGGGTATAGATTGATGCCCTCCAGATGTTTGGGCAGCAAACTCCATTATGGGGAATTATAAGAGATGTAGCTGCACTAATCTGGCAGCCAACAGAGGGAAGACGACTGCTATAGATACACCTGCCATAAAACACTACCTTAGAGGAAGAGTATTCTCTTTCCTGTGATTCTCTTCATCTTTCTGCAGTAGAGGAACAGAGTGAGAATTTCTGTGTCATTATGTTCTCTTATCAGCACTCACTGAAAGACCAGGCACAGTTTCTAGTATCAGTTAATAGGAGGCTATATTTACAAATAACACACCTAGCCCTGCAAACATTTCTTTTTGCTGGAGACTTCCATTTTTCAGTTCTGGTTCCAAGTGGGTGTAACCTAAACATGTTCTCCTGCAATGCTTTGATTGTGGAAGTTATCTAAATAGACTAAGGAGAGGAAATGTGTCCTAACACATCCTATATGTGTAACTGAAAGAACAACACTTTGTACTAGTGAATTAGATTGTTTGAGATTGTAGATCTTAGCTATTTCTTATTCTTTTTGTTGCTGCTGCTGCTGCTGCTGCTGCTTCTTCTTCTTCTTCTTCTTCTTCTTCTTCTTCTTTTTCTTCTTCTTCTTCTTCTTCTTCTTCTTCTT